TTAATTATTTTTATTTGTGAAAATAAATTACTTTTATTACGCACTTCTTAAATCAACTTTATATGATTAAATTTTAGATGCAATGTAATTATTATTATTGTTGTTATTTTTTGTTAATTTGATTTTAATTGTAAATATTTTCAATATTTTACATTAAAAAATGACTTTTTTACTTAAAGGAAGTAAAAGTTCTATCCTTTAATTAACCTGAGCCCATAATTTTGTTAAACAAAGTGTACTGCTGTTGTAGGTTTAAAATTATTTTAAGGATTAAAAAAAATTTTGAGGCTAAAGAAAATGACAAAATCCTAAAGGTTAGTTGGAGTTGAGACAATTCCCTGCATACACTCCCCAACAGTCGAATGTTGCAGGTACTTTTGACTTTGTATGCGTCCGCGCTACTGAAAGATTTTGTAAACGTCCGCGTTTACTGAATGCGCAAATAGACGTTCTACTGTTTTTTTTAAGTTATTGAAGTTCTTTTTTTTTCGAAGTTTACTTATCTTTTCGAAATACAATTTAAATTTCGAAATTAATTTAGTATATTTTTTGTTTCCAAAATTAAAATGAGTTTTCGAAACTAAATTTAAGTTTTCGAAACTATTTTAGCCATTCGATAGTTTTCGAAAATATTTACGAAATTCGAAAAAGTTTTATATTGATAACGTTTTAATCGAAAACTTTCGAAAGTTGTGTTTTTGAAAATGAACCCGACTTTTAAGATTAACTTTATAAATTTTCTTTTAGACATTAGAGACTGAAAGAAAACCACCAGGAACTTAAAAAATTTCCAAAGTTTGTTATTGTGCTAATTAGAAGCGATATAGGAACATAAATGTATTTTTTAATCTATTAGATTAAAAAATACATATATGCTTTATTTATCAGGACTATTCATTGATCCAAAAATAAGATCAACTTTGGTTTTAGACAAACTCAAAATAGACAGGCAAAAGAAACTTCTTCATTTAAAATTTATGCAGAGGTTATTCGAGGTTCGAAATAGTAAAACAAGTGGTCAAACAATAAACAGAATTATTAAAGTTTTAGAAATTACCTTTGATGTTCAAATATTGTATGAGCTCAAATATTTTTGATATAGTCCGATAACAAAAATTCATCAAAAATTTTTCTTCTTATTCAGAAAGTGTTTAGAGATCATGTACAACTTGTTTCCAGCTTTCTCATATTGTCTATGGTAAGAAAGAACGTCAAAACATATTGTGGATAAATTTCTTATCAGAAAGCATCAAAAGAGTTTTATGCTTAAATGCTTATTTGCGTCTAAATAAATTTTTGATACAAGAATTTACATAATGACGAATAATTATTTTAATAACTTAATATATAAATTGAGATTTTTTTAAAGTTTATTTATGCAATTTTTCCTTTTTTTTTATCAATTAAAAATATACAAAATGTGTATAGATTTTCTATATTTAAATCAACACAATTTTTTATAGAATTTGGAAACAAATGGTCTTAGAATTCCAACTTCAAAAAATCTATAGAATGTTTTATTGAATCGCAATTGGTAGTCTAAAGAAACCTCTATTTCTATAGGCAATTTGTTTCAAATAGAAAATCCATTAAAAAATAGTATAAGTTATTTTTATAGAAAAACTATAAAAACTTTGTTGTGGGGTAGGGTAAAAAATTAATGACAACTTCGTTTTTTTACTTTTAAATTGTGTTCTTAACAGTTTAAATACTGTTTGTACAGTTTTACTTTTTGTGGTTGTCTCTGATTTGACAAATATTCTGAAACAACAAAATATTCTTCATCAGAACTGGAACAGTCCATGTTCCTGAGAAAACTGGATTTAAAACTTCCGTTTGTTAACTATGATATTTTTAAAATTTTAATACAATTTCCAGACAATAGATTTCTAAAAATAAATTCAGAGCATAGATATCTGCAAAGTTTGATACGGAAAAGTTTTATAACATTGAATTGAAAATAATTTACGACTCTAAATTTACGGCTGTAAAAATTCCAAGAGTAAGTTTCCGCCGGTAACATTTTGACCCCAGACAGAAAATTTTCAAAATTTTCCGGTAAATTTTACCTTCGCAACAATAATAATATTAATAACATTCCAACCCACCGATAAATAGCGGTTCGCGCAACCAGAGGTAATTCTACAAATAAAATAGGGGGGGGGGGGTAGATGCCTGAAAAGTACCGACTGGCTTCTAAAAAAATAAAAGTTCTAAATCTAAATCTAAGACTAAATCTGTAGTGCTCTCTGATAAGACTGTAAGGACTGCTTGGAGCACTTTGAAAAAAAAAAAAATAGTTTGTAAAAAAACCGTCAATAACTTGAAAATCACCTTTTTTTGGAGGAGGGGGGGGGGGTTCACCTCCCTTCCTTCTCCCGTATAATCGCCTCTGCGAGCAACGACTACCAAAGTTAATTATATTATAATTTTTTTTTTATATAACTTTAAAAAGTCGAAAATAACTATACTTTTTCTACTGCTTACTCTATAATGAAGT